GCATTTCTGCAAAGTAGAGATGCCAACGGAGGGAGGCACAACCGGCTCACCTTGCGTGCTGTGAGACAGGACGCTCACAGGTGTTTATTGCACATCGTGATTTGCTCGTGCCTGTGATAACCTGACTGGCACAGCGCCTGGTAGTCATTTATTTGCTGGCAAAGTTGTGTTGCAGATGTTTGGCACGGCAGGGCCACTGGTGATTAAGGGGAAAGGTGTTTGTCTCGCTCACCGAACGTGGTAGAGCACCTTGCTAGTGCTTCAGCAATTAATGAATCGGATATTCCAAGCCTCATTTGTTTTTTTTTTCCCTTATTTGTTGTTGCAAGTGAATAGCTAAATATTTTAATACCCAATTCTCAAACCATACCTTAGAAAATTACTCCATGGTTTCCTGACATTTGTCTTATGGCCTGCAGAATAAAATAAATAATACAGTGGTATCTGCCCATGATTCTCAGAAGAGATGGTGATTTCATGTTGGATTTGTATCTAGTAGTAGCTAAATCCTTCTGGGATGTAAATTAACATTCGATATTGTGAATTGATTTTCATTTAAATTAAGTTAGAGATCACGTTAAAATGTATTCTTGGTTTCACATCTCTAAAAAGTGACCTTTCAGGGTATTTACTTCAAAAATAATATAAAATATTGTCTATGATGTTATTGCATTATTGAAACTATAATGTTTGACAAGGTAGTGTTTAAATATTAGGCAGGTTATTATTCAGACTTTATATGTCTGTGGAATCACTGTAATCCATTTCTGGAAGAAGAAAAAACATTTCAGACTTGACCTGAATAAGGGCCTAGTTATTGGACTGGATAGTCCCAGTGGACGCCTCTAATTGTGATGATACCAGCTGGCTCCTCTATAGGCCACTGTGTCTGCATGAAATGAAAAATGATGGGCGCATTGCATGCTTAATAATGGCCCTAGAAATGCCTCTGCTTCAATCCTAGTGGGAATCTGCATAGCAAACTACATGAATAATTCAGGGTCTTGGAAAGCCCTTGAACATTATTGCAGCATAGCAAAGCAATCATTGCATGGCTGCTGTAATCCTGGGCTTAAGAGAATAGAGGGAAACATGCATTCTGCAATGGCTAACAATTCGAAATTTTATAATGCTATACTTACATGTAATGTTAACATTCCCCTGGTCTCAGTAGGGTCTCGGAATGAGAAATCACATTCACTCTTACAACCCATTTCCCACTGTTGTTTGCTCCTTTGGCTGAACTAAAATATTGCTTTTTCTATAAATCATTCCTTGTCCTTAGTGGATCTCGCATTAATAAACTATTGCATTTTGGACCTTACACCTTTATCTGAAGTAATAAGGTACTTTTCAAATAAGTACAGTAATGCCTTGACATCCGAAAGTAGAATTCGCGGATGTAGATCCTATGTTTATATGGGGGGGGGGGGGGGGGGTTAAGTTATTGTTTCTGACTGAGCATACAGGAGAAAATGAAAATGTTTCATAACATGAATCCTCTACTGTACACGTAAATAACATCCATATACTTAATGAAAGTGCAAGAATACAACATAAATAAAACATCAATAAATATACTGTAAATTTGCAAGTTTATTTACCTTTGCAGATGGGGGGGTGTAAATGATGATGGCGATTGTGTTGTTGGAGCGGAAGTCAAAGTGATGACTCCTCATTTACCATTTAATTGCAGCCAATAGTGGATGCACAATCACCAGCAACTCTCCTTTTCGAGCTAAACTCATCACTTTGTTCTGCCTTTACTCTTGCTCTCGCGTCTTCCACTCACTCGACGTTTAAAACCCCGTGATCGGCATAAACCCCCCCCCCCCCCCACTATAAACATGGCAGAAATAGCACAAAAGGCAAGGGGGGCTCTCGTCGTTGCATGTGGATCACGGTACCGCTGGCAACATGTCTTGGGTTCACGCGCACACGGGGGTCCACAGTGTCTATAAAAGTACCCCATTCCGCCATCGTGCCATGCTGCCAAATCACGAACAGTCAAAAGGAAAAGGGTGCAAAGCCGAAACTCGTATGCAAATATGAAATCGCGAACAATAAAATTTGGCCAAATTGCAATAATCGAATGAAGACGTTTTACTGTACAATACATATTCTTAGTTCTTTCGGTAAAGTCCCACGTTGAAGGGAAACAACAAAATAATGAAATATATATAAAACATATATTTCAGACACCTGAAGACGACCGTTTGTGTTATGGTCGAAACGTCGTGAGAATTTTTATTGTTTTATATATATTTTATTATTTTGTTGTGTCCTTTCAACGTGACTTTACCGAAAGAACTAAGAATATGAATTACTGCAGTCACGAAAGCTTTAAATCAAAATGTACAATACATGTTACATTTATGAAATGCTAATTATAATTCCATTTGAATAAATTGTGGGTATTTTTTTTATTTATTTGTACCATGATACCAGTACCTAATGGCTTTCTCTTGTGATTAACTTGACGCGATCATTAACATTTACTTGTGAAGCTGGGGGTAAGGGGGGGGGGGGGGGGGCGAATTTTTACGGCTAATGCATCCGCAGTAATAACACGGGCGGCTGCTGGATTCGAACCATGAACCTCTTAAACAAGCGACACTCACGCTCGGGCCTGGGCCATGGTCAGCACCCCTCAATGTATAAATAATTAAAGAATTATTAGCAAAACCAGGAGAAAAGTGCCAGAGATGTTTTATTCGTTTTGAAGCTCTTCAAGTGGGTCTGAGTGGTCAGTGGCCTAGGAGTGTCAAGATGGAGACAGAAAATCATGAGGGCTCTTCATTAACCACACCGACGGTGGCACTCAGTCGAATAGCCTTGGTGTAATATACGAGTGGATTGGCCTAGATGTTCAAATACCATACAATTACCACCATCTCATCACAAGAGTATTAATTAGAGCATTGTTTAATAAATGCTCAATGCATGTAAGTATAACATCTTAATTAATATTCACAGAATAGATGTGGTTATTGCAAAAGGAAGTAAAAACGACAGACTTTTTCCAGTGTTATGATTGGCACTATGAAATGAATCAGTTTGAATTCAACTACTCAATTTAAAAAAAATGCAGTGTTTTGATGAAGCAGTTGAGCTCTTGATATCACTCTTGAAATGAGTCATTGTTTGAGGTCAACGAGTACATGGAGGATGTTATTTTTCATAACTGGGTGCTTGGTTTTCACCCTGTCCAATGTTTCAATTACTTTTACATTTTTCACTTTGGTCATTTTCTGCCAAGCCAATGTGGGATTTTAGATTGGGGGAATACAGAAAGGCAAACCATTCGCCGAAGGAGCCTAATGACTTTTTCCTAGCAATTGTTAAGGTGTATTTGCCTCTCACATGCGCTCATATGCAGACACCCATGCATCTACTGGATGTGTATGTTGTTTTAATATATCGGTTATTGGTCCAATCTAAGTATTTGTATATCCTCCACCTTAAAATTGGTGCATTTTTAAAAGCGGTAACTTAGTTGAAGGTGTGTTCAATGATGTGCTACGAGAGTAATTTCTTTGGCATGATGTCAGCTTAATATCCTGCTGGTCAGCGTCTAAGTGGATCTTTAATTCCATAGATATAGACAATAATACAGCTCTGACTTTCCATGTTGCTTCCAGCAGACTGTTGTTGCCCAGAGCAACTGACTACAGCCGGTGTTTTGTTTTACCGGCAGCATGTCAAAAGTGTCTTGATATCCACATATATTTAAATTGGCTTTTGGATGTGTATCTGCCAGGATAGATGGAATTAATCCATGTTTTGCATTGCGAGTTCCTTCTCTAAAATACAATATTTGCATATACTAGACTGGGACCATCCAAACCATGGCCCACATTTAATGTGGGCCTTGGTGTCATCCAAGCCTATTGTTGAAAAAAACTAGCCAAGGCTTTTATCACTGCTGAATGCAACGCCTTCCTGTCTCTCACTCTTTTATCCCTCGTGTGCATAGACATCTCTCTTATCGCTTACATTTCTCTCCCGAATAGATATTGTGCTATCCCTTTTATCTTCTTATGCATTTACTGTATCTCTCATCTTCTGAGTACAATTCTATGTTCTTGTGTTGCGATCGAAACATCTATCTACGTGACTTTACCGAATGACCCAAAGAATATTATTTTAAATCGATATTTGAAGCAATTGGCGGGACCCCGTTGTTCCATCACTGCCCCGGGGTGGGAAAAACCACGTAGCGACACGAGTCTTGCCTTACCGACAACAAAACTAGTGTCAATCGATTGGCCTCGTCGAGAGCTACTCGGGGCACTAAGTTTCGTAAAAAGTTGGAAAATTACATAAACACGTTAAATTCACTGCGGGGGCGGGCTCGCCTTGGCAAAGAAGCTGAGGATCGACGGCTGACCGGAGGGCGTTGTCGCCGCGCGCGACTGCGGCGGACGCCCCCCGGGGCTCCCGTTTGGCCGGTGGGGTGGCGCCCATCGTGTTGATCGCCGCCTGCTGGCGCTTGTTGGCGCGAGTCTGGCCGGGCGGCGCGTTGCTGTCGGGATCACGAGTGGGCGGACTGAAAAATAATAATTATTGTCCCGCCAAATTGTTCATTTGTTCCGAATACATTTCTCACCTACCATTCATATATATCTCCAGACTATGTCGTTCTTTTTCTCATTCATCTCTTTTTCATTTATACATTATTTGTACGTGACCCACAGGTCTTATCATTTTAGTCAACCCAGCACTCATTTCAAAAATATGTAAACCCCCCTGTGATATATCATAATGAAGATGTGTAAATATCATCTCCTATTGTCAATATTGAGACCTCCAAATCACCGTAATACTACTTTCCCATCTGTTCTGTTTGTGATCTTTATCTTTCACTCCACAAAATATTAGCAAAATCTTAATTTTGAGGGTTTGTATCTCCCTGGATTTGGTTGGATTGACATGGAATGACCCAATCGAATGTACTCAACTGTGAATGCTTGTTTTTTTTCCGGCCATGGCGTTGACAGAAAAAGTCATGCCTAGCAGTGAGGAGGTGCAGCAGTCCGATGTGTCGTCCACTGGGAAAGGAGTGATTGACAAACACAAGCTGGGACCTCTCCTACTCGAGGTGAGCTCTTGTGATTACATGTTCCCATAACCTGTCAAGTAGTCCACTCTAATCGCCACAAAAGCAGAATTTTTTTTTTATGCAATGAGCAAAAATATTTATCTTACTTTGGAAACTGTGCCCTCTTGATTGTGTTGTTTTCATTTATTTTCCAATTTTGCCACACAGGCGCTTACATTTTTTAAAATGTGTGTCCAGGACAAATATGTTACCACGTTATGCAGCTCAAAATTAACGCATTCCTGCGGAGGGGGCTGGTAGGAACGTTGGGTTGCTCGGTCAATGGCCAGGGTCAACGGCGGCACCACGTGGTGTATTCCGCAAATGTGCCCGACTGTGAGGGCGGGCACAAGCCGGCGTGAGTAGGTTAAATGTTGAGTTTTATAAGGGCACCACGGGGTGATCAACCCCTCCCCACCCAGCCCCACCCCACCCAGCCCCACCCCTCCCACCCCCCACCCAGCCCCACCCTCCCCACCCTCCCCTCCCCACCCAGCCCCTCCCCACCCAGCACCTCCCTACCCTTCCCTCTCCACCCAGCCCCACCCCTCCCATTTTTTATATCCGAATGTCCGGATACACGTGGACCGACATCCACAGACATACACAATAAATCCCCTGCCTCCTGTGAGAATTAATCCCCGTTGGGCTTCCAGTCCACTACGTTTCCTACCAGTACCAGTAATAATGGGTGCTAGGTGGCAATGTTTTTATATATCTGGGTGTCCGGATATACGTGGACAGACATCCACAGACATACACAATTAATCCCCTGCCTCCTGTGAGAATTAATCCTGGTTGGGCTTCCAGTTCACTTCGTTTCCTACCAGTAATGCCCACTAGGAGCGCATCTGTTATATATCCGGGTGTCCGGATACACGTGGGCAGACATCCACAGACATACACAATTAATCCCCTGCCTCCTGTGAATTAATCCCGGTTGGGCTTCCAGTCCACTACGTTTCCTACCAGTATTAACATTGACTTATTCATTAAACTGGACGCTGGTACACCGTGATATTTGATAGTGCTAATTTTATTTCTGGAAAATTGCCCCATCACTTTATATCCGAGGGTGAAGCCCCCATGTCAAATACTTTAAAATCATATTTGATTAATGGGTTAAAGAAATCTTGTTTTGACTCGGATGCTATACACCTGCCTCCCCCCACATAGGCCCTGGACGGATTCTTCTTCGTGGTCAACCGGGAAGGCAACATTGTTTTTGTTTCGGAGAATGTGAGTCAATACTTGCACTACAATCAGGAGGAGCTCATGAACACCAGGGTCTACAACATCTTGCACCTGGGAGACCACTCGGAGTTCATCAGGAATCTTTTACCCAAATCTCTAGGTGAGTGTCATTTACATTGGAGAAAGATAAATCAGTGCCTGACGCTTGTAACTGCCTTTGAATTGATCAGGATTCAGGAATATGGTTCGGTGTTAGTCACATCTTTATGGGGATGTGTTTATACTATACGAATATAGACAATGTCACATTACACTAACTACTTAGATCATAGCAGTGCATTTGAACACATTATGAAATACGAAGAATAATGTTTATTTGAGAACGTTTTCTAAAGATTCTTGGGTGTGAGGGTACCTGATATTAATTTCTCCACACCAAAGAGCCATGTTTATTGGCAAAGGTATCTTAAAAAAAAACTTAGTTGCCGTTATTTAAATCCTGCTTAATTATTGTAGGAATTCAGAAAGGTGGGAAGTTACTTTTTTACGAATTTCCTGCTGACTGCTCAGGGCTTCTGATCCTCACTGAGTGGTGCATATCATTCCTGCGGGCTTTTGATAATCCCCGTTGGTGTACAGCATGTCAGGCTCTACATTGTAAAATCAACCAGGCATGACTAAGTTTGCTGGACATGCTGAGGTTTCTCCACTACTATATAGACAGGAAAAATATTGTGTTTCTTTGTATGTTCTAGGATTTGGTGTTACATGTTATTTATGTAGTTTATTGTAAAAATTCGCTCACAGTCCCTGTGATCACTGTTACATTGCAATTATGGCTTTATTTTTTGGTGATTTCGAAAAGTTTTTTGGTTTGGACATGTTTGTTTTGTTGTAGTACGGAGTTAGACTGATAGCCTTAATCTCAGTTTTCTTGTGGTTGTTGTTGTTGTTGTTTGACTTGCATCCCACTGCGATTTTTTTGCACACAGCGTTGGTGTACGGTGCTTTTTTCAGGAATATTTTAGCTGTTTTTTTCATGGCTTTTCTGTTTGCACAGTCACACATAGTCACTTTAAGATGTTTTTCTTGTTCGTGTTTTTGTTTTTTTGTTTGTTGTGGTTGCACCCGATTCAAGAGCCGAATGGCTCACAGGGCTATATCAAAATAAATAAACTGAAAAAAACTGAATGCTGTATAGCCCTGAGTGTCAGGGACAAACGTGCCTGTAAGACTAGAATAGTAGTGTTGCAAGCATTGAGTTCATCCAGGTTTGTTGCAAGTTGAAAACTAGGCCAGTTCCCAAGTTCTTAAGGGCTCATTCCGTGAGGGCAATCGTCATGTACTGGGCATGCAGGTTTGTGTGTATATATTGCTAGCTCGTGTAATGTGAGACTTTTCCTTGGTTTTGCTCTTGTGCCTCATGCCCTTCCGTAATCCATGTAGTTAGTGTGATGTAGATATGAAGCAATTGGCGGGACCCCGGGGTCCCATCACTGCCCCGGGGTGGGAAAAACCGCGTAGCAACACGAGTCTTGTTGCCTTACCGACAACAAAACTAGTGGTCAATCGATTGGCCTCGTCGAGAGCTACTCGGGGCACTTAGTTTCGTAAAAAGTTGAAAATTTACATTAACACGTTAAATTCACTGCCTGGGGGGCGGGCTCGCCTTGGCAAAGAAGCTGAGGATCGACGGCTGACCGGAGGGCGTTGTCGCTGCGCGCGACTGCGGCGGACGCCCCCCGGGCTTGCGTTTGGCCGATGGGGTGGCGCCCATCGTGTCGATCGCCGCCTGCTGCTGCTGGCGCTTGTTGGCGCGAGTCTGGGCGGGCGACGCGTTGCCGTCGTCGTCCAACTCGGCGACGAGATTGGGCAGGATGGCTGGATAGTAGTCGAGGCAATCGGCGGGGATCGAAAAGTACTTCTTGGCGAGCGGACTGAAAAATAATAATTATTGGTCTCATTTGGGTCCCGCCAAATGATTCATATGTCTGAATTGCAATGGCAACTACAATTCCACACTTAAAAAAATGCCCATAACAGTTTTATTTATAGCTCATAATTGTGTTATCTATACAGTTCAAAGGAAATACACGAGTATTATTGTTATTTTGATCATTTTGTAAAGTTTTATTTGTTTTGTACTAATACATTTTAATTGCTTTGTGTTTGTTTTATACTACCAGTTCACTCACATCCCCCTACCATGCACACTTGTTTCCATTGTATTCTATTTTTATTTTCAGTTAGTTGTTTTTGCTTACATTACTCGATTATTGTTTAAAATTAGCGTTTTTCCTCATACATTGGAGGAATGTTTACCACAGCGATATTTAATTTGCTGTTGACTCTATAAAAAATACTATTAACGTTTTGACAGGTCTTCAGTGACATGATAAATATCCACCTTCACACAGGGCATGTGCCGTATGCTTTATTAGTTCCTGTTTACTCGTGCATTTTATAGCTCTGAAGACAGCATTGCAGCTTTGGCACCAGCAAGCACCTGTATTACTACCCTCTCTGGCTTGCCAAGTTTGGGCAATAAATTTGGTAGCCAATTTGATTTCCTAAAAAGAACACTGAGGCTAATTGCATCGTATTATAATCAGCATGTTTGTATTTTTGGCAGGCTTCCCATGTGATAAACTGGCATGCAAATGCTTTATATCCTTACCTTTAAACAATCCCATTACATATTACCATATGGACATTAATGGGTGGATGTGAAAGTGATTTTGAGAGTAGGAGACTAGAAATTGTGAACATTTTTTATTTTCACTGGTGGACACACACTTTCATGAGTTCTGCTAGAGTCAATCCCTCATTTAGATGAGGTTTGTTGACGATGTACTAAGCTCTGGCACAAATCGGCTCAACTCCTTCCAAGTCTGCTCAGTATTCTCAAGATTAAAATAAATTAGAGTAATTGCCCTGCAGATGTTTTGGCCTAATAGAACCCATTGGTAGTTGGTTATTTTGTACATAGAATGGTCGTATCCATTTCAAGCTCCCCAACAATGTTTTGCTTTGCATGTGCAGTGGGTAGGAAGGGAGAGCGAGACTTCACTGGAGGCAACACGTTTATTATAACAATAATAAACCTTAACACGAAGAGGTAACAGCCCCTTCCATCCGATACTCTCAAGAGGTATATCCTCTGGCCTAACGTGCCCGAACACACTGGGGAGGCTAACTCCGACCCGACCCCAGCCAGGGTCCGGGTCCTGTCTTCGGGCTCCAGGTCTTCAGGTGGCGGCTTGGGGTCTTCAAGTGCACCACAGTCAGTCCCAGCTTTCCCCGCCCCTAGCCATGCCCCTCTGGGCTGTGGACACGTCATTCCCCCAGCCCCCTCTTGGGGGTCCTGGGGTCCGTTCCTCTGGTCACGAGCCCCCCCGGGTTCAACCTGAGTGTCACAGCCCAACTCGATCCGGGCATTCTTCCGCCCCCTGTTATCCCAGGGCTGGCACTCCATCCAGGTAGCAGTGGCATTCGTGCATCACACCTAGTAATGTCACTACACATGTACATTGATTGAGCAAAATGAACATTATAAAAGGGGCTGTCCATATTATAATTAAGTAAATTCCAGCACAGATGCACGTGCTATTAGTACCATCAACCATGTCACCGTAATTATAGTTACATTTTCTTGGTTCTTTCGGTAGTTACATTCCTCTTAATCACTTTTAACTGTATCACTTTGTTAAAACAATGGTCATCAGTCAACATTAGCTTTTCCATTCAGGCATGGAGTACAACATTTATGCATTTCAAATTTTTTAAATTGTACTTTTATGAAACTACATATTTCTTTTAGTACTTCATGAAACTAATATTTCATCATCAACAGAGAGTTGTTATAGCGGTGAACAATTTAATACTGTTATCTTGAATTCAATAATTTTATTTTTCCTCAATCTTCATAACTAAATGCACAAATGTGTTTTGTAACATTGTGATTTTTGTGGGTGATATCCAATGGCATCCAGCTGGATTGCGCATCGGTTATAATGTTCTGCTTGCAGATTTCTCACCCCTCTTCACTCATCTGGTTCGATAAAATAGCTAACACTTTGTGGGAGGTCAGCACTTGGTGTCGAGTGGATATGCTCGCCCCTGCAATGGAAATGTGGCCGTAAACTGCAGATGCGTGCCCACGCTTGTTTTAGTGGGAAATGACTGAACTCTTTTTGTTCACAAAGCGAGGATCATGCACGTGAATAGGCAACTTTATATGAAGTTTGGTGCATAGGTGGCTTTTAGATGTAATAAATTCATTATCAAACTAAACTGCAAACGAAAATATTTGTATTTTACCGAGTAATGTCCACAGCTCTATTACTCTTTTTCAGAAGCGACCTGGCCACAAATGATAACTCAACGAAGTGGCTTGTTATCACTTGGAAATTTATAGCAGCCAAATACTCTTCAACGCACATGCATTTTGATTTAAAGCTTTCGTGACTGCAGGGATTCATATTCTTGGTTCTTTCGGTAAAGTCACGTAGAAGGGAAACAATAAAATAATACAAATATAAAACAATAAAATTCTCATGACGTTTCGACTGCAACACAAGCATTCATCATCAGGTGTGAAAACCACAGCAAGAAAATTTGAAAAAAGTGGAGTTTTTTTCTTAACGTTATTTTATTGTTTCCCTTCTACGTGACTTTACCGAAAGAACAAGAATACGCACATACATTGTTCTATCTATCAGAAGTGAGAAACACTTCATTTGTCCTCATTAACGCTGTCTGAAGAGTTGGTGGCTTGTGCTAGCAGAATACCGACTTTCATCACTACTAGATTTTGTGTTCTACTACATGCTTCTTGGTTAGTCTTTCTGATATGATCTTTCACACCATGCCCAGGATATAGTAAAAAGCATAGTTTTAAAAGATCACTGCTCCTCTGACCGCATCGTCAAGTTATCTGATAGTTGATAATTTTTTAAGAGATTGAAAATGATTGCTCTCATGCCAAAACCATTTTGCCTGACTTGCTAAATGTTGAAGGCCACTGAAATGTTTTTCATTTCCATCAAATGTTCAGCAAATGAAAACATAAAGCGAGACTGCTTTTTCAAAAGCATGTAAATTCAATGCCGAGCATGATGTTACCATTGAAGGCCAGATTGGGCTGTTGCTGATTTAGTTTTTTTTGTCTCTTTTATCACGTGTGCATCACAACTGAACCCGCTTAATTTGACATACTTGCTACTAGTTAATGGACAGGGACATTAGAAATCCATGGGTAAAATTATGTTCCTTACATTTTGTTTGAATGTTCTTGTAATATGGGAAGAATTTTCTCATTAATAACATTCCAGTAAGTATGCTGGAATTTTTCTGCAGTACTTTTTCTCCAGAATTGTACCAAAAAAACCCTAGGTATTGTCACAACCTGTATTTGTACAGGCTAATTTGACTACCATTGGGGATTTTATGTATGTTTTATCGTAGGCATGTAACAAATCATGCTTCTGGCTTGATGAGAGGGCACGATTTTATCCTATCATAATTTTTGTCTTATTTGTACTGTCGGGTCTTGCATCTTCTGTCTTATTCATTTGGCTTAAGAGTACATTCGCGTATGATATTCATTAATTGTAAATAATCAGTTATCATGTGCACAATGTGTTGCATGTATGGCGGATAGCATGCTGCGTGTCTTATTAATCAGCTTGATGTTTGTCCACGTTGTTTTTTGCTTGTCATTGCCCATGACAGTGAATGGCGTGCCGTGGCCCAATGACGTCACTCGCAGAAACTCGCACACCTTCAACTGCCGCATGCTCGTACGCCCCCCGGACGACTCTGACGACGAAGCCCCCAACTGCCAGGAGGCGCGGCAGAAGTACGAGACGATGCAGTGCTTTGCCGTCTATCAGCCCAAGTCCATTCTGGAGGAGGGAGAGGGTAAGAGCTTATCAGGTTGTTAATCCTGAGTGCAATTTGATTATTTATTTAAGAAATGGAAATCCCTACGGATACTTACACCTGCATCCTATACACAGTAAACGTGACAGTGATAGTGCCAAGGGGTGTGATAATGAATACAATAGTGGTATACAAAGCTGAATCAATTTGGGATGACAGATGCCAATGCTGACTGTAAAAGCTGGGACAACATCTTGTATTCAGGAGCTTCACTTGGATAGTAAACGAGAGCCTTACACATAACATTCCCACGCTCTAATAACAGAATCTGGATTTGTTAAGCATTTTATGTACAAATGTATGTTGAACTTATCTCGCACCGTACGTAGCCAACCGTGCTAATCGGAGGTAATCGGATCTCAAGTTGCTGCACAAGAGATGAGACACATTTGGATGAGTGGGGTTAATCGGTAATGGGGGGGGAATTGAACGGAGGAATACTATCATGCACGGTGAGGTAGTGGCAGATGGACCAGAGAGGAAGGACTTGGATCCAGACTTAAACACGGGAAGGGAAGTCTGCCATGCGGATAATTATCAGGTGGGATGTTCTCGACCCTGTTGGCAGAAGTGGAGAAGGAGCGACCTCCCAATGTGCGTGGCAACATCTTCTGTAGCTTCTTAGGTTATTTCTGGAGGATGGAGGTGATAGTTCCATGATTTTGGGAATGGTATTTGGATTTACAAACTGAGATTTAATATAACCTTGTATATAAGTCTTATTAAACTCAAATAATTCCAGCAATGGGCCTTCTACGATAAGAGACATGGGAAGAATTAACAGGATTGACCACTGTTTTAGATTTTTTCTGATTCTGCCTTGCCTAATCACCCAACCTTATACTTGATGAAGCACTCGTTTAAGGAAACATTCAAAGGTTTGCATGCAGTCAGATATTGTTGAACTTAATCTAAGCTTAACCAAAATGCATAGTTTGTACGAGGTAGAGGTATCTTCGCTCTGCAAGGAAAATGTAAACATGAATTGGCTTTGAAGTTCCAATGGTTGCTATCACCTTGAGAATAAACACAAACTTAAATTTACCAACGTGATATTATTATACTGAACTTAATTTAAATCTAAAACCAACCCCATGCCTTCAAGAGGAATATCATTACCCTGTCATTAATGCGAGTACAAAGCCAAATTCTACATTATGCCTACTTGGACATTGCTCAACAAAGTTTCAGTTCAATTGTTTTGCCACGTGGTCAATAATGGAAACGCTATCATGTTCTTTTAATGACTTGTTGACTTTCATTGTCCTCATTATCTATATAATCTAATGTTCTTAAGGAAAGCAAATTTGCCCAGGTTTTGGTAATCCAGCAAAACCAAATATATTGCAGCGATTCATTCTCCATGAATGACGATACTAATTCAATACAAATGCAGTAAATCATATCTGGGGGGAAAAAAATATGACCCGCATAATAATTGTATGGCCATTATATATGGCAGACGGTGTAATTGAATGGCAGCTGTTGACGAATGAATGTTGCGATGAACTTACTTGGATCTCTCTTGGCAGATCTGCAGTCATGCTTGATTTGTGTGGCACGGCCTATTCTGACCAAGGACAGAGTGCTGTCCAAACCCACACATGAAACATTTACCACCAGGCAAGACCTCAGAGGCGAGTTTGAAAACTAAAATCGCACATCCAGATCATTCATTACCGTCTTCCCATGCATAGAACGTTTGAATGCTTTGCAGTTTTAGTTAGAAATTTAATATTGCAATGAGGGGCATTGTTTTGTGAGTGAGTGATTGCTTAAATTTGTTTTTTTAAATGTATGATACAACAACGGAGTGTAAATCTTTTGATGCCTTGTTATTTTTTTGGGTCTTTTCATTTTTATAGCCTGATATTATTTCACTATTTCTTGTTTGTTCCATCCATAAAATGTAATAAACACTCTACCGGCAGTTTTTGAAGCATGTTTCGATACCTGCTGGTGTCGATATACAGCACAATGCTGTGATGCATTGGACTTAGAAACAAAAAATTCTCCCCATTTATAATTCGGACATTTATTAATAATGCATATAGAGTTATCACTTTTATAGTAGCTTTAGTTAGTTATCTAACGCACTTGTGCTATACGCATAATGCTAAGAGTAAGGTGGAAAAGCTGAGGGTTTTCTTACAACAGTCCATCGGCACATTCCTTACAATACAGTCTTCTTACAGTGCACGGAGCCTAACCAGAAATCTTTAACCAATGACTAAAAATATATATCTTAAGCTTTTGGGCCTTGCCATCATTAAATATCTGATCATTAAAAACTGACCGTAACCCACCTCAAAAATGTTGCTCTTAACTTCAAATTTCTACCACGACACTGTAAAATGTGATCTCCAACCATATAAGTAATGTTTTTTTGTCTTCTCTCTGTCTTTTCTTTCTCTGAAGAAACACCATTGTCTAAAACAATTTACTGTGCTATATTGTTTTGTTATCCAGTTGTGTTAATAATACTACTTGGTCTTTTTTTGGGGGGGGGGGGCGGGGGATGTTGTTGAAAGCAAAAAGACAACACACACTGCTCATGATAGCAATAAGGTTATGCAACATATTTTGAGCCACATGATGAAGCAGGCCCTTTTGGAAATTACAAGTGGTTCATGTCACGTGTTGACCTATGTCTGCCACATGTGCGCAGGGAACATTGTGTTCATTGACAAAAATGCCGCGCAAGCGTACATGAAGCCAGGCTGGGAGGAGGTGGTGCGACGATGTCTGCACACCTTTTGTCAGACCCGTGACAATGAAATGTCACTTGCCAGACGACACAACCAGGAAGGTAGGTCTGTCGCTCGTGACTGCAGAGGTCATTTTCAACGCAATTCCGAACCCCGTGCGATGCCGAATGATGCTGGATAGAGCACAGTAATAAATTGAGTTGACTAAATAAAAACACATTTGTTCCGAAAGTTCCATTATATATGATTGGCTCATTGGCTTCATGCCCTATGTCATATGAAAGTCATAATGCAGATTAAGATGCTCCTTTCCAGTAGTGCATTGTGGAAAATTGGCCGATACAAATGTAAATTGCTGAATAGTTGTTGTATTTGAATAACATTGTTAACGTTTGTTCTAAGATACATATTTTCTGTAAGCTCATACATGTTATAGCAAACAAAACAGGTATATGTTTTAACTCTTTTTTCCAACATCAATTCAAATCCTTAAGGCAGCCGACAATTAAACAACGTGGTTTTAATAATAATGCTAACAAGGAAGCATGTTGTATTTTTCATCCAACAGTACTGAAGTCTGGCTTTGCTCACAGCCCCTTCTACAAGTTGATGTTGGCAGATGGTACAATCATCTCTGCCCAGACGAAGAGTCAGATTCTGCGCAATCCAGCCACCAACCAGCCACACTTTGTCGTGTCTATGCATACCGTCATTCGGTAAAGCCCCCTCACACACATGACATGCTGGAATGCATTTTGTGGTTCTCAAACTTTTTGCTTCGGAGGCACCCTCAATCGAGATTAACTGGGACCCCACAACCCAAAGACACAACTCGGGTTCCTAAGGTCACAATGCACTGAGCAATGACATGTCCACTCCTCTAGTCAACGTAGCGTTAGTCGGAGGCATTTGTTTCACGTTACGTATATGCGGGTTTTGTCACTGCAACATGGTGGTGACATTGCCCGCAGTCATTCAAAACTTCTCCTGTGCGGTATCCATACCCAAAGTATGCCTCCCCACACCCCCCCCCCCGGCCGCCTGAAAGGATTTTGTGACTCACAGGTTATGAAACCACTGATGTAATGTTTCTGTGACCACTTGAAGTGTGCTTTCGCTTGATTTTGCCATGATTAGGGCTGGCATGTGAACTGCTGTATTGTCTTATTTGCCCTTGAAGTTTTTACATAGCGTGCAAACAATGTGACAAAGCATGGTGGTACTAAATGTCTTACTTCTGCTCTTATGAACAAATCATATTTCAGCCCAGAATCTATTAGAATGTAAAAAATTAAATATCTTTTTTGCTATATTCTGTAATGGTGATAAAAGCTGTGTTCCTTGTTTGAACAATAGTATTTAATATAATTTATATATATATTTCTCAGAAGGCAGTAGTTTGCATATGAAGGTCTGTATAGAATCGTAAAATAAATTGGAGCCACAAGTTAATTTAGACCTGTTCACACCAAGGTGGATCTGAGTTAATGCAAATTTCAGCCATGCAGGAAACATACAATTTGAACTTAGCTCACAGAGACACGGATGAAGACAGTTGCCAATTTTTAATATGGTCTGTATCGAAAGAGGGCGTCAAGGGACTGGAAATGTTTAATTTTAGTGAAAGTTCACTTGGGAACACTAAGCTTGTCTGAGTTTAGTGCTGCCCCTGCTGTTTGCTTTGCCGTATTATTCTCTGCATTGCTGACTCTCTGTCACGCTCATGTTCATACAAGAGATGTACCTTTTCTATTTGTCATATGATTAACTGCCTGTCAGTCTTAATACTATATTAACTAATCCTCGTCTCAACAGTTAATAATGTTTTTGACTGTCACCAAACTTCGTGAGCTTAATTTATTTAACCAATTTTCTAAAACTTATTTCCCACTGCTATAAAACATAATTCGATGTTGTTGCATGTAGATATTTTGGACATTACATTTATTTTTATCGTAATTGCATTTTATTTCCTATTTCCAATTCTTCTTTACAAGGGAACAAGCGGACATGACGGGTCACAGCAGTGCAAATTCAATGGCAGGCCCGACCATGATGTCCCCAGCCACTCACAGGGACATGGCCCAGCAGGGCGGATCGGGACAGCAGTGCCCTCCCTTTCTGGGAAACGTGAACCCCATGGGGGATCAGTTCCAGTTTTCTCGTGTTCCACCCATGGACCCAGCCAGGTTCGGTTCCGCCGGCATGCAGGCTAACAGTGTCACATGCAACCTGGCCAGTCCTGGGATGGGTGGAGCTGTTCACCAGCAACAGCAGCAACAGCAACAATATCAACAACAGCAGCTTCAACAACAACAGCAGCTTCAACAGAAGCAGCAGCTTCAACAGCAACAGCTTCAACAGCAGCAACAGCAGAAACTTCAACAACAGCAGCAACTTCAACAACAGCAGCAACTTCAACAACAGCAGCAACTTCAACAACAGCAGCAACTTCAACAACAGCAGCAGCAACTTCAGCAGCAGCAACTTCAGCAGCAGCAACTTCAGCAACAGCAGCTTCAGCACCAGCAGCACCACCATCAGGGCTTCCTGATGTCACCGCACCACTGTGGCAGCCCTGTCATGGTCGGTAGTCCTAGAATGCCAACCGGAGGGCACTTCTCCCCGGGATCCACCGCTCAGCAACACCCGAGCTCTATGTCGCCAGCCACAAGCCACGGCTTTTCGGCGAGCTCTTCCTTGAACGCTCTTCAGGCCCTCAGCGAGGGTGCGTGCGTCCCCTCGGTTCTTTCTCCGCTGTCTTCCCCTCCACCCACTCCGGCCTCTGGTCATGGCCACAGACTTCCGAGCAGCTCTGGTCAAAACTCACCCGGGCAGCAGCAACGCTTGTCCACGCCACAGACTTCTCCAGCACTGAGACTGCAGATCAACCAGCAGAGCTCACCAGGCCAGCAGCAGAAGGTACCCAGCTCATCACAGCAGAGCCCTTCCAATCAGCAGAGGGGCCCTGGCACCACCCAGTTCCCTCAGCAGAGCTCGCCAACTCCTCAGAGAATGTCAAGCCCGGGCATCTCGCAGAGGGTCAGCCACTCCCAGCAAAGTCCTTCGCCTGGTGGACAGAGGTTTGGCAACCCGCAGACATCACCGGGCCAGCGATCGGGGAACCCACAGAGCTCACCTAGTCAAAGACTATCAAAAGCGCAGAATTCCCCAGGGCCATGGATGGTGAACCCAGCCAGCCAGTGCTCCCCTGGGCAGCCAAGAATACCCCCGACACAGCGGAGGGGCAGCACGGATGGGAGCAAAGACCCACCGTCGGGACACGTCGACCCTCCCGACGGCTCGTCAGATATGTCGGTGGAAGGCAAAGGCGAGACTCAAGCGGGCGACCCGGATGAGCCGAGCCGGGCGTCGGACAGCAAGAAGCATACGCAGCTGCTGCAGCTGCTAACTAACGGCGGCTCCGGTGGAGAGCTTGTGAGCACCACATCGGCGGCTGGAGATGCTAGCAAGGAGGCTCTGTTTGGGATTACCTCGCCAACCACAGCAGCGTCCGCTGGCCTCCTGGCGAATATGAGTCAGAGTGCAGCGGCGGCGGGACCATTCTGCCCTGCGGCGACGGCATCCTCGACATCTCTATCCAGCAGCGCCGCCTCGTCTTTAAAGGTTATACACCGGATTTTAACTTGCCTTATAGGGCACCTTCCTGTTTTGTCGCTGCCCTATGCTTGATTATTTAAATTTGATATTTATCAAGCTGCGTTGTTGTTTCCCTCCATGAACCACGCTTCCTCACTCTCAATATTGTCTCATATGTAAAGTAATGTTCCCTCAAATGACTGGTAAACAATGAAAATGAGCTGCTGGAAAGGTAATTGCTGGTTTGTCTGGTCTGTTGATTGTATGAATCCTGCATGGTTTGCAAAAAAATGTATATGTAATTTAACAGTTTGCTTTAAAAACTTTCAAAATTAATTTATAATGCTGTTAAAACAAATTAAATGATAAACGTGTGTATTACTTTACGGAGACACATTAGCTAAAACACTGTCTGTGCAACATTCCTGATTCAAGCTAAAGTCATCTTTTAAACATTGGTGCATCAATTAAACAACGTCACATGCACAGCGCTGTGTGACATCTGAAGAAATTTCCATCAGAAATCGTTCATTAGCAGCGACGAATGCAAGTCATTCTCTGCTGTCCTGCGATTTGCACACGCGTGCGTCTGCGCATGTGTTCGTTTTTTTTTTAATATATATCTGGCTCCACTAACGTCAAGAAGGAGCGACACAAGATACTCCACAAGCTGCTCCAGGACAGCAGTCCGCCCACGGAGCTGGGCGACAAGCGCTGCTGCGGCGGCGGCGGCGGCGGCGGCGGCGTAGACAAGCCGCCCGCCGAACAGCAGGTCGGAGGCCTCGGCAGTATCGGCTCGGCGGAGAGCGGCGTGAAGCAGGAGCCCGGCCTGACGTCCCCCGCCACCGCCACTGCTGCCGCTGCGTCCACGCCCTCCGGTTCAATCCCCGGCGGCGGCGGCGGCGGCGACGGCGACGGCAAGAAGAAGGAGCACGACCACGTGCTCCTGCGGTACCTCTTGGACAAAGACGAGAAGGAGATGGCTGAGGCCGGGGGTGCTGCGTCACCATCCCAGCCGGCTCCAAAAGTAAGCGGAGAACGTTTTAGTGTGTCATAGCCGCCCCTCAACGGTGCATTTAGCATCGCTTGTGTTACTGCGCAGCCGATATGACCGTTGCCATTGTATGAATATAACTTGTTGAAAGTGGGTTTCCTATTCAAACAGAGCGTGAATATGGGGGGAGGTGCTTATCTTTTTTTAAAGTTTGAAGCGATTGGAAAAAAATTCCACATTGCTATGGTAGAGGGCCAAAACAGCGACTGCTGATTTCCCAAAAAAAACGTTTGCACTAAGAGGAATGTACGGCCAAGTTGACCTCTGATTGGGATTTCATCTCACAACCTACACATGTAAATTCATGAGCTCTAATCACTGAACCACCTGGCCAAATGGATAATAATTAGTTGGTAAAAAAATGTATTTCTTTACTTCAAAAGTTACATAGATTAATGTAGCTCAGCGTAATGAAATCTTTATTTATTCACCACAAATCTGTCACGGTGCAGAGGATCCCTTATGCTCTAACAGCTATGAGCAGTTAAAATGTGTGACCAATGTTTGTCCTAGTAAACGGTGCCCCCTAAGCCTAATTAACGCTTTGCATCTTCACACGGTGACGTCACGCTTAAAACGAGATCCATATTACAGCAAGATTAAAGGAACGAGTGAGAAATCAGACTGCATACGCAGCCACGAAAGCCGCCTCCTCTCCTACTTATCCCTCCTCAACCGGCTCTGTTAAATAAAGACATAAACCATAAAATGTTTGATTCACCCCTTGATACCTCATTCAACCAATACCCGCCATATGCCGACCTCCAAAGGCTTAATATACCCGGCTCCCAGCATGCACCAGGTGTTGTGGCCTAGATGTACGTCCGCGTCCTCTAGCGCGTGTTTAAATGAAACGACGAGTCGGTCCAAGGTGACGTTACTAAAAGGGAGGCACTCCTGAAAGTCGCGTCTTCGCTTTGGACTTATTTTTATCTGGGATACTCATTTTCTTTTAACTGTGGCAGCAGTTTGGAAGCGAGCGGGAGCAACTGGAGAGCATTCTTCAAACGCTGGAGGACGCCGGGCTGCAGGTCCCCTTCTCGCGGACCGAGTGGGAGTCGGGGGATGCCAGCAAAGCACCCGGTCTCACCGATGCCTTCCCGATGTCCGCCAACTCCCCCGGCTCGAGGAAAGTGGCACAAGGTTTGTGGTGCACCTGGCAGAGCAACGTGAAGCTGAATTAATCAGAGGCTGTCACAGCTTTCACCTGCATAACCCACTCATTACTACCGCCCAAGCTCGGCGATTAACATTCTAAATTGCCCGCATAGATTTTTCACTTCCTCACACAAGTTGCTTCGTCTGGTGGCCAATATGCGTTGCGGATGTCACTGTCTGGGCTGTAAATTAAATATTTCCACATGCATGCACATGTTCACAGACACTAATCTAGCGATTAAATCTGCAGCCCTTTTTGCTTGGCGCTTATAGTATTGTTACAGTCTTCACTGACATCTCACTCGTAACGATAGACACCTTTGGTCCTGGCTGAAATCAAGGTCCTGCACTGTTCATTGATAGAGGGGTATTGTAATGTTTTCTAAGTAGGTTAGCTCCACACTGACAATAAACAGTGATGTCACCACTGTTGGAAGCAGCGACCCTTACTTTTCATCATTGCTAACCTCGCAGATTATCATTATATTGGATTTTAACATTCATGTTTTATTTTACGATAAACACAAATGTCCCATTTGTTAGCAGACCATACCTCTTAGACCTGCCATGCAACTCTCTCTGTTGTGGCTTTGATATAAAGGTTTTTTTTTTTCTTTGACCTCATTGCAGGGTTAATTGGGTCACCAGGGTTGGCAAATGTTCGCCTTCCATTTAGCCGAGATTCCTCAATGGAGCTGAATTTGCCACCCCACGGAGGCAAGGGGTCCGCTCACTTCTCATCGGGCCATGCCACCATGTCAGCGCAGGTAGCTCTGGCCTCAGCTGCAGGTGAGGGTGGAATGTGTTGTCGCTAGTCTGTCCACCAACATCATCGTGAAGAACACCCTCAGCTGGATACCCTAGTGGTCAATATGCATGGCACTGAGCTTAACCTGGCCATGTTCAACCATTTGCAGGCAACAGCCACTCTGGAATCCTGCGAGGTCTAATACATGTTTGATATTTATTGCCTTTTGATCTCATTCATAACAGAAGGCAATTTGTCTTAGTCTAAACCAGAGTTGTTCTCATTTGAAACTTGCACACTGAAAACAGTTTAATGTTTAATAACACATCTTTGTATAACCAGGATATCCTCTCTGAATCTGCAATCTGCAAATATTTTTTTAGACGTAAACTCCTTTGATGAATTTGAAAATAATAACCTTGTGTAGATAGTAAATCTACTTTTTATTAAATGGCAGTTTGCTCATACCACTAATCTACCCGGTTTTGTGCAGCTGTTGTCTCATCCTACTGCCGCTTATTCCGTTGCATAATCTCCCATTTGGTCCTGCGAATGAGCACTCCTCTCGACTGCCGAATTCGTGTCGAGGCGTAGATGCCAATGCCACATGACAAATATTCATTCGGTGCTTCGAGTGCACGTGAAATAAATAAATATCGCTGGAGCAGTTTCTTCCCACTCCGTACATTTTGCTCCAGCTGTCTCGGTGCTCTTCATGAGCCACTAGTGTGATATGACGGTAGAATGTCAAATTAATTTATTTCTATTTTTGTGAAAATAATATATTGCATTAAGTTGAGTGTTCAGGAAACATATATAGGTATATTGTTGTTTGTATGTACGGCTGTTAATTTTTAAAGTTATTTTCACTGACATGATTCTATACACGCTCTGCGTTATGTTCATTTTGTCGAGACCCATCTGTTACTAATCATCTGCTTGTATTGCCATGCATACCACTGGTACCTGTTGGGAGTTTGAGGCATGGAATTCTTCAAGTGGGAAAGTATTTAAATTGACCCCAGCCAAATATAAACTTAATTGGTCAGGCTTCATGTCCACATTAATAAATGTGCCAAGTTTTGTTCTGCTTTGTTAAATTTGTTTATAAGCCTTTATATGCGTGCATGGATTCTATTCAACTCACTAAAACACAGAGTATGAAAAATATATATCTGGGATGAATTAATCATATAAGAGCAGCAGATTTGGTTGATATGGAATGCCCTATGTATGATCAAATGAGACCCCATTGAGACAAGAAGTCTCCAATAGATTCCTGAGTTTGAATAAGTACATCAAACAGCAAATTACAATGGTCACACAAAATTATATTTGTGATATGATTTAACAAAGTTTTAAAAATGAATCCTAAGGTATGCAGGCACAGAAGAATAACCATATAATATGCACGGTGCGAGGGAAAGAAAATGACATTTATTGCCGAAACTTCTGGAAGGGAATGCCCTGAAACACAATAATCTGCCCCAACCAGTGCAGTGGATCAACCTGCACAGCTATTTATGCTCATCAGGATCTATTAGCCATAATGAAAATGTTGATTAGATTTATATGTGTGTGGAAACCTGCAGTGAAAGTGAAAATGCAGTGAAGTGTATTGCCTGAAAGGAAATGTGAGTTGGATTTGAGCTCATATAATATTATAAATCTTATCTCCTCACTTATCTATTTATATGCCTGAGTTATTGGCAGGGTTACATTGCTTTATATCCTTGACTTACTTTGTCTTTCTGTTAGCCCCCCACAGGGCCACAAAATATAGAGACAAATGTAATCATTTGTGTCATCTTTTGTCATGCCGAATTTAGAACTATTCAGACATACATACATACAAACAGAAGTGACACACCAAGAGCATTCGGTGCTTTTTAACTTTGCAGCATGTCACTTTAACTTCCCTCTAAACTTCCATTGAGAGCCTGTAGCCATGCTGTGAATTCACAATGTGGATGAAATTAAAATTGAAGTTTGCTTTCACACGTGTTCACTGCCCGATTTGCCTGTGCACAGCGCCAGTGTGGCTGAGGCAGAGCTGTCCACAACAAAATCAACGGTAGAAAATCAGAATTGTTTAAACAAATTATTGGTCATTCGCTGAGCTCCACCTCACGCTGGTGCGCGATGCAAACTCCACTTGGGCCCGATGAGCACCTAAAAGTGAAACCCTGTGCTGCCAATGCCTTGCGTTAGAAATGATTGGCAGGTTAAGCTAACATTCCAACTTCCTCGCTAAGAGCATTCTATTGATTGCCCCCCCCCCCCCCCTCTGCACAGAGATTTCAACCACTTTCCGCGACTGTGCCAGCAGCACCACTTGCCATCTGCATTACTCGCGGAATAATTTATTAATTAATATATCCTTCTATCCCTGCCTCTTTGTCTGGTTTCCATTTCCACCCGGCAGGCGCGCTCGATAACCGGATGATGCGTGCCGAGGACGCATGGAGCCAACAGAGCCCCCCTGTGGCCGGCTCGAGCAGCCCCGCACTGTCCCAGCCTGGGCCGGCTTACAGCCCCTTGTCGGCCGGCATCGTGAGGAACCCCACCCCTCCGCTGGTCATGCGGCCCAGCAGCCAGCCGACACCCAGGACCATCCTGCAGCAGCAGCAGCAGCAGCAGCAGTCCATCATGAACATTGGTATGCCCCTTCCTGGCTGCTCTTTTGAAGGGATGGAGTTGGCCCACCTCGTGTTTGAACTCTCAAGTGTTGAGGGAGCACCACTGGCGATAGGAGGTGGCACGGATGTCTCCTGTGTTTAGGTTTATCCACATGCATGCATTTAATTCCGAATTCCATTGGCACTCGTGTGAATTCATAGCTTGCTGTGCACCTAGCACGACCTTCCAATTAATCAGATAGTTACATTTTATTTTTTTAGTAACGAGTGAGAGGCTTTTGAGGCCGCACAATTATCATGCATGTAAGGTTTGACTTGAATGCAATCACAATTAAAACATATAAAAACATCTCAAACTTGCGCAAACAAAACATCTTTGACTTTTTGTATTATCATTCCAACATTGTTCGTGATGACGACATTTCATCGTAAATGTTCAATCGCAGGACCTTAATGGACCACTTGTGATGAGACCCCGCTGTGTGTATGAATGTGTGCTGCCGTGCCTCAAATATTGGAACAAGTAGTCACCCCCTGTGAGTGGCTGGCTGAAGTGCCATCTTTTGGGGAAGTACAGAATGTGAGCCCGAGTCTGAGACCAGGAAAAGCACCGGGCAGAGATGCTGAGGGAGGGTGGAATTTATGCATAGACTGTCCTACATGACATCATAATAACAGTCTGCACAGGATTGGAAGGATGCCGTGGTCATCCCCCTTTTTAAGAAGGGGGACCGCACAGACTGTAACATCTACAGGGGCATCTCACTCCTCTGTGCCGGGAAAGGTCCTGGTAAGGATTATTCAACATAGCCTTGCCAGGCACGCTGAGGAGAGGCTTTTGTGGAGCCCCAATGTGGTTTCAGGAAAGGGCGGTCCTGCACAGATGCCATATTTTATGTCAATTTGCTACAGCAGAGGTGTAGGGAATTCAGGACCAACATCTCTGCTTTATAAACGTAGTCAAGGCCTATGATAACATTAGTAGGCCTGGGCTCTGGGTTGTTATTCGTGCTTTTGGAGTCCCCAGACTCTGCTCACAATCATTAAGGACCTTCATGATGGTAAGCGTGGCCAGGAGTCAGAGCCATTCCCTGTTCACCTTGGGGTGCGACAGGGATATCCTCTGGCTTCTACATTATTTTAAATAAATCTATTTCGACCATGTAGTTCTATCTGGTACAGATACAATGGTAGGTTGAACGATGCCCTGGTGTGGTCAAGGTATGGCTCCCTATTGGTCAACTTTATTATGTATGCCAATGATCTGGAGATTGCTGCTCACTCAGAGGAGTTGGAGTTGCTACTGCTGAACCTGGAGCGTGCCACAAAGAGGTGGGGCCTAACCATCAGCCCTACCAAAACTTAAGCACCTTGCCTGGGTATTTTCTACCATAGGACACTCCACCCCCACAACTCCCAATTGGTGATGGGGCAGTTGTGAAGAGAGTGGAGAATTTTCCATACCTGGGCAGTATGCTCATGACCGGCTCACTCCAAATCAGTCGAACGGCATTATCTTTTCATTGGCTGTATAATGCTGTGTGGAAGCTACCTGGTCTGTCGCTCCACACGAAGCTTCAAGTCTTCTCGGCTACGGTCATGCTCTCTATACTCTATGCTTGCAAAACGTGGACCCCCCTAATGGAACATCTTCACCGGTTAGAAACATTTAGACTGGCCTGCCTACGATCCATCAGTTTAGCCAGGCTGCATTGTGTGAGGAGCTCACAAATCCTTGAAAGACCTGGACAAAGTCCCCACTGGGCACGGCACGGGCTTAGAGAAGACATGGAGGATGTGGAGCTGAGTGGACTTGCCAATGACTGGTGCCAGCAGTGTCAAGATTGGCCTCTGTGGAGGAGGCTCGTGAAGGACGCTACTGGCCATTTCGAGGAGTCGTCCTCCACCAACAACGAAGGGCAGAGGAGAGATGCTCACAACAACGAGCGGAGCGCCAGGTGGCTAAAACACAGCAAGTTGGCACAGTAGGGGACACAGTTGGCGCATCTCAGTCAACCCATGGCACCTGGGTTTATCCCGTGGCCACCTGCCAGCGGACGTTTGACAATTTACGTTGCCTTAACATGTGCATAGCCTGGCACAAGCGCCGGGATGATGTCACCGCCTCTCAGAGGCAAATGGCGGTTGTTGTTGTTGTTGTGCCTTCCAGGCCCGGTTGATATGGACATGAGCATGGGCAGTCCACAGTTCCCAGGTGCATCCATTGGAGGTGGTCCGCACAGCCCCTGGATGGACAGTATGATGGGCAGCACTCCCCTTGCAAACCACAACAGGTATCACACTAAACACTTCCCACACCCGTGTGTTCCTATCCACTTGCTTTAAGTTTCTTTGCCCTGGTAAACCGGCTCTCTGGGACATTAATCCCCCTGTCGATAAAGGGAGGTTTGATGAAGAAGGCTGAATTCTAGAACATTCATTCTTGCTGTGCAAGAACCTACTTTTTTTATCTTCGTTTATCTCCATCATGAAAACTAACATTTAAATGTTGTATTCTCTAGTATGAGACGAGAACCCCTTGTTTGGTACCAGAGAAACCATTTGTATTGTCTAACCAGCTTCAACAAAACTCTCTGTTCAGTGGAGTCGAAGAAACGCAGCAGAATCTTGTCTTGTTTCTCTTCAGCCAAGCGTTTGGTTCTCTGGACGAGCTGCTGTGCACGCCGGTCAGACCCGAGTCTCAGAACGATGAGAAGGCCCTCCTCGAGCAGCTGGACTCGCTGCTCAACAGCACGGATGAGCAGGAGCTGGCGGAGCTCGATAAGGCACTGGGCATCGACAAGCTCGTGCAGGTGATGATGCACCTGGGGCAGTGGCGGGACCCCCCCTATTGCACCGCGTTGCCGTTGCAAACCATTTATAGGAAGCCGCGTGTGGTAGATAATTCGATGAGAGTTGAATCGTTCACCTATTGCTTCGTGTAATGTTAATCAAAGGAATCCGAAAGGTGGCACCACGCAACTTGTTCTGTGCATCGCACGGAGAAGCGTTTCGCTTCCCACCTCGCATAATCACTGTGTATGGAATGTATTACCTTCGTAGTGTGTATCATCCTGGCTCAGAGTCCGTACGTAACTTTTTCCTCTGCAGCAGCACAGAACCCAGACACTCACTAATGTGTTAATATTTTTAAAAGTTTAAACACTTTGTGGCATTCCTTCCATTTAATGGGCAGGAGGGGGGATGGACCGCCCATGCCACGCCCCTTTGGGCAGAGTGGGCGATCCCGAACTTCCCACACACCTTCCTGCCCATCCTCCTCAGCGCTGTTCTGGGTTCGCGCGGCAGGGCAGTGCAGGGCTCTGGTTTGAGCTCCTGTGTAGGTAGATTATTAAGTGTGAAGTCTTAGTGTAGGGGTAGCTTCAAACTTAATTACATTTATTAAAGTAATAACATAGATTGTGTTAAAAGATGTTTTGCGGCCGAGCTGCATAGTTTGTTTGGCGCTCAGCCACCGAGTAAAAAATTTACTTTATTACGAGCACACGGCACCTGGACTTGGCTGCAAATAGAGCGAAGTATAGCCGATCGTACCAGGTGTCGCAGCTGCGGTTCCACCCTGCGAGCAGGAGACCGCCATGAACAATGTTTTACAATCTCCCACAAATTAAACGCTATAGGACGGATATATAATTTAATATGGCAGCTCCTTTCATGAAGATTTTCCTGAGATTGAAAAAAGAGACTTTTATCCACACAGCTTCAGAAACGGACATTTACCAGGTGATTCACAAACTAGTTGAGTTGGTACAAGGATTAATAATGTATCATTATTTATATTTACAGAACTTATTTTAAAAAAATGCACTCTGGTTGGGATTGAATTACAGATGAAAGCATTCTCGGCCGGTTGGCATATTTGTTTAACTTTCCGTAATGTCACCTGCCGCACATTGCTACGCATTTATTAAGTCTCTGCAGCAGTTTTAAGAATCGAACAAAAACACAGTTCTGCAAAGGAAAACAAAACCAAGTATGAGTGAAATATGTTCTTGTTTAGTCAATTTCAGCCGAAGGGTAGACCTTGTTGTGGATTGAATGGACACAGTGCGAGTGTAAGCAAACATTGTGTGCCTTCGGCTGCCGTTTTCGCATAAAGAATTTCACATTAGCTACCAGAGTTCAGACTAGATTGCTGCACTGCTGTATTGCAATTTTTTTTATTCCAAGAGCACAAACTTAAATGGCTTCTGGTGTTCCTATAACCATTGCTGCTCATTTCCATATGAGCTTTTTCAAAAGTGCTTCCCCATACATCAGTAACATGAAGCATCAGAACACCGCCTGTTTCTGTTCCGGCCAAATGTCTTGAGCCAGTCGATATTGATGTCAACAGCGGTGGATGACACGCTTTTCTGGCCAGTGGTCAGCCCACATGGAAAACAAAAACAAATTGTGATCCCTTCCTAACCATTGCCTCACGGTTGTCAAAACTTTGGCAGAGTGGCACCCTGGCGTTCTCGCAGTCGCTGTTCGTGAGCCAAGAGCACGTGCTGCCAGTCGGCATGATGATGGAGCAAAAGGTGATGTACGGCCAGCCGTACCCCGGCGGCCAAATGCAAGGCCCCGGGCCCTCACCTGGCCTTTACGGCCAGGTTCCGGGCCAGCCCTGCGGCCCCTACGGCCCCATGGGCTCGCAGCGTGGCCTCTACCCTGCCCAGCAGCCGCTCCGCATGGGCGCCGTGCCAACTAGGCAGGGCATGGTGGCCATGGTGAGGCCCCCGCGGGCGATGGCATCTGTACAGGCAGCACCACCGCAGCCCAACCAGCTGCGGCTGCAGCTCCAGCAACGCCTGCAGGGCCAGCAGCAAGTACGTACCGAGCGCTTGCCATTGTCCTCATCTCCACTTCTACTCTGTCCCCGTTTATCTTCATCCACGTCCAATCGCTTACTCATCTGTTTGTCTGGGATATCTCACCAGGTGCACATGCTTGTCATGGCCTTTTTTAGACAACCTCAAGGTTTGCCAATAAGGTGTCCATAAATTCGTAGTTTCACAGAGTTCTCTTTATATTATTGGTTCTTTCGGTTATTTTTAACGTTAGCATCCTCCGTGGTGCTAACGTAAAAAATAACCGCCACTTCAAATTTTCTTGTTGTGGTTTTCACACCTGATGATGATTGCTTGTGTTGCAGTCGAAACGTCGTGAGAATTTAATTGTTTTATATTGTTATTATTTTATTGTTTCCCTTCTACGTGACGTTACCGAAAGAACCAAGAATATGAATCCCTGCAGTCACGAAAGCTTTAAATAAAAATTTAGAGTTCTCTTTGTACACCTCGTGTTTTCACCAGTCATTTGTGCTTGCAATGTCAGTAGCTAATTTGATGCTGAGTTCATGGTTTTCTCATATTTGGGGGGGGAGGGGGCGGGAGGGGGGGGTGGTGGTGCATCTCAAGTTCTCCCAGAAGGATGTAAGCTAGCTTGGCTGCAAGCGGTGTACTTGGAAGTGTGGCTCCAGAGATGGTCAAGCCCAGAACAAGGCGGGTTCACTCGCATCATAAGCTGATCTGGTCAGTCCTGATAAAATAGCCGTAACATGTGTGTGACCTGAAAGTTGATTATAAACATCAAAGCAAGTTAATACATTGCATGAATGTATTTATTATTTAAGTGTGAAGGAGTCACATTAAAACTGCTATTTATCTGCTATTTATGTCTCTTGTGTTGTGCCAATGTATGCGATCTAGTGCTTTATAAGCCCGATACTTATTTAGTGGACAAATATTGATTAAAATATCAATAATCTATTCACACAGCGCAACAAAATTATGCACGTCAGTTGTGACTATTTGTAGGATAGCGTCCCATGCGACTATTGTGCCTGCACCATTGTGGGTTATGTATGTATGTTAAACTTCCTTCGCACCGTACTTAGCCAACCGTGCTAATCGGAGGTGCGGATTAACAGTGCATCATATGTACTATACATTACGTGTGTAGTGATGTATTTGGAGTCACTATGGCGTTTAGCGCCAGCTACTATCACAAGAGTTGAACTGTGCGTGTGGTGCCTCTCTCTGGCACCAGAATAGTATGGCATGGAAGCGGGCCGTAGGGGGTAATGGTTCTGGTGACGGTCAGAGAGAGGGCAAATAAGGATGTGACAGTCTGGGTAAACCTGAGAGGGCACGTGACCGGGACAGGGTAGCGAGGGGGCCCAAAAGGTGACTTGAGGGACACATGGTGCTCAGTCGAGAACCTTCTGGTAAGATCCAGAAGGGGGCGTGGCCGAAGTCGGAGCAATGCCAAGCGGCGGTCTTCTGGAATCAATCCGCTGTGCTACGTCTCTTCGGTCTTTACGCTCGACATCGTGGGTCAGGCAGTGCGTTACTGACTGACCCGGTTATGTAGTTACCCCGTTATGGGGTGAGTTACTCGTGGTAGTCACCACCTATGTCGTTATCCCGTACGTTTATGCAGTTACCCTGTTGGGGTGTTAGAATAAACGTGTTAAACCATGGTGTTGCAGGCGCAGCAGAAGGGCACATGTGATGTACTGTTAACATCTGCTTGTGTCGCTCACAACTTCAGCATTTCAAATTAGATTTGCACCGAACGTAAATTTTGCCGGTTGTAAAGGACACCGTTGCCAGTTAATTTTACTGTCGCTCAAATTGTCCATAACAAAACACAAATTGTAAGCTATGAATCCTATGTGGTTTGAAATGGTAAATGTATTTTTTATATATATTTGTAGGCTGCGCACATGTTTCACTTAGGATTTTTTTATGCATTGCATGCTTTGCAATGACGCCATTACATTGTCAAAACGAATAAAGTTTACTGTAAATGTAATATGGCTGCTTGGAGGTTGGCTTTTGAGGGTTTTCTTTTAAAGATGGGCAAGGGGGCGGGGGTTTAGCCTTTGTCATCGCACTTGTTACTTTGCAGTATATCATGAGGGAAGATGCCTGACCATAACTCAGACCAACCAAACCCCAATGCTGGCAAGCATATGGGTTTGTGCATGGGCAGTATGTGTGCCTTGGAGTTCAGTGTTTGCCAGTTTGAATCAAAACTTTCCCACAGAAAATACTAGCGAATAAATACACATGTGAATTGTGATGATAAAAAAAAAATCCACAACCTTATTGTACTCACAGAATGACGGTATGATACACATGTTAATGATACATTGTTTCAAGAGTGCTTATGAATGCATTACTATTAATCTCTAAGTGCTGTATTGAAGGTTTTTTTGGTGAACGACAAATATATAAATTCAGCTTTGATAGATGCCGCAGCGATGAACTCATTTACTTTTGAAACGGATGCGAGTAAGTACATGGTGTCTTTCAGATCATCAATCAGAACCGGCAAGCGATGATGAGCCAGTACGGTGTTGCTGCAGCTATGAACCCGGCAATGAGGAATGCTATGCCCCCACAATCAGGACAGGTAAAAGGAACAAGACGTACATTTCACAAACCCCTCCGGATCAACACGACGGCTCCTGAAATAACTCACTCCATGGTTTCCAGCCAATAGCCAGCCTTATGTTCGAAGCCGAAAGCAAAAAATGCCCTCGGTGAAACACTTTTTAGCGCGAACATCATTTACTTTAATGAGCAATGAACATTAATTTGGAATACAATGTACAAATACACTTATTTTTTCACTGGTGTCACAGTTGATCACATTTCAATGTCAAGAATTACATCTGTGTCCACAATGTATTCAAAGTGCTGGTCACTCTTGATTTTCCATTCTCTAACACTGACTCATGCTGTGATGCATTCAATATTGCGTACCTATGTGACATGGCCAAATATCTATGAAGCCGTACGTAACGCCATGTCAATGTTATTCATAAGTAAACAAAACCACACCTAACTGCACTTTGAGTCGAACTTCCTTCAAGTAAGTGCAACGTATTTTGAGACAGAGCCCCTTCATGGATTTTCAGCATATAGCATTTGCTCTATCTTTTAAGATATTAAATGAAAAGTATGTAAATGTCATTCATGAAAAATTCAACCACATGTCATTCATGCAAAGTTCAGCCACACTCAGTTACTTTTTGGAGGGTCGTGTATTTGAACATTTTTCCACTTGTAAACCCCCTGTATGAGACAATTCAGAAACAAGTAAAAATCAGCACAGATAATTATTTTGGCCAACTCGCATCCCAGCGCGTTTTGGATCATCCATAACCCACAATCTGAACGATCCATCAACAATTATTACGCCAACATCCCTGGCTTGGAATTGAATTCCGTACGGATAAACATAATGAGCAAGTGATGAAACAAACGCCTTGGATGATTGCAGGGGACGCTGAACGCCCAGATGGTGGCCCAGCGGCGCCGCGAGCTGCTCAACCAGCAGCTGCGGCAGAAGCAGCTGATGCAGCGCGCCATGATGCTGCGGCAGCAGGGCTTCGGTGTTCCTCCAGGCAGCATAGCCGGCCCCGCCGGGAGCATGGCGGGCATGCAGGGGGGCATGGGCGGCATGGGCACGGGCGCTGGCGCCGTGGGGCCTGGCGCCATCCCGAGCCACGTGGGGGCCCGCGTGCAGCAGCCCCCCAGCTCGCAGCAGTTTGCCTACTCCGCTGCGTACGCCGCGGCCGCGGCGGCAGCGGCGGCCGCGGCCGGCGCGGGGGGTGCCGGCGTGGCGGGCGCCGGGGGGGGAATGCCTGGCAGCGTGGGGAACCCACAGCCGGTGCCTCCGCCATCCACGAGCCCCTTCCCTCCGCTGTCGCCGTCGGCCACGCCACAGGCGGGCGGTCACGGCGCTCTGAGAGGGGCGGCCGCGACGCAGGCAGCCCGCGGCATGATGGGAAACCCCGGCGGGCAGTACGCGCCCATCGCCAGCCCACAGATGGGCCAGAACGTGTTCCAATTTCCTGCCACAGGTAGGAGTGCTGTGACGCATTTGATGCTGTTGGTGCATTACATGTTTGTTTTATTTTGCCGCCATTGATTATTCACTTGTGACATATTCCCCACCGGCTACCAAATGTGATCTGCCAATTAAATGATACAAAAGGGGTGCTTTCAGCAGTTAAACCCTGCACTGAAGGTGCTCTTTTTATACCAGCGTTAAATAGGTTTAATTTTGCCCAGTGTAACATTTTCATCAGTTGGATAAAGAAAATACAATCTTTATATAATACATTGTTATATTGCTTAACATTACAAATATATATGGATGGATTTATGCAAATAAAAGAGTTACATTTATAGCTTATAAGTGTATGTGTTTGTCTGTGTTCAGGAGTGGGTCAGCAAGCAGAGCCTGGCTTCGGAGTTTTGGGCAACCCCCACAGCCCGCTGCTGTCCCCAGCCATGAGCCCACTCGTCGCTCCCTCTCAGGGGGGCTCCCGCTACTCGCCAAACCCTGACATGAACGCGTGGCCGCAGACGATGGCACACAGCATCAGTCCCAACGTGGCAGCCAACATGAGAGTCGGCATGGGATCCGGCATGGGCCAGAACATGGTGCCAAACATGGCACAGAGCATAACGGCGAGCATGGGGCAAAACATGGCTCAGACAATGGTTTCCAGCATGGGCCAAAACATGGGGCCCGGCATGTCGCACGGCATGGGTCCCGGTGTGGGTCACAGCATGGGTGCCGGAAACATGGTGCCCAGCTCGGCGTCTGGCATGGTCAACAGCATGGCTGGGGCCATTGGCACAGCGGCTCAGGGAGCCATGGGCAGCAACATGGTTGGCGGCATGGGCTCCAGCAGGTGAGCGGTGGTGGCTGCGTGCTGCGTGTGACGTTTGCCCATTGGACAGTTGTATGTGGGATAAAGTTGCACGAATCGGAACCTGGTACGTACAAATGGTATGTTGCGCAAGGAATAGGCAATTCCACGTTGAGGGTGGTGTGAGTAAACACTACATATAGTTTGCAATGTCCGTACCGATGGTCATTCAGCAGTTGAAAAAATGTATGTAACGTATATAGTTTTGCTTAAACGTCAGAAGTAATCGTTATGATTTTTTTTAGCAATTTCATTTCATAGCAAAACAATTGCAATCGTGAACATTGTTGAGTTTTGGCATTCCATCGACTCAAGTGGAATGAAGGGCCGAGTCTGGAATTTGAACTCAAAATCTTAAAACTGAAAACTGTGCACTCTCATTGCTGTGCCAGCTCGCTTGCCCGTAGAAAAAAACTCATCTGTAATGTAATTTGTGAAAAACAACAGTGAGCGGGAGCTCTAAGAGATCTGCCCCTTTACTTAAACAGGACCCAGGTGAGGCTTTATTGGGCAAGTGTGTTAAAATAATTATTCCCTCGTTTTCTGTGTGCCGTAGGGGAGGTCCCTTCCGTCAAGCATCGCCGCAGCAGTTCATGCAGCAGCAGCAGCAGCAGCAACAGCAGCAGCAACAGCAGCAGCAGCAGCAGGAAGGTGCCGGAATGTACGTTGGCTCGGTGAGGGGTACTGGGCCGGGAGACTGCAGCACATCAAGCGCGAGCAGCATGGAGCAGCCACCCCCGCACATCGGCACCTCGTCCATGAGCAGCACAGCCTCGCTGCCTCCTGAGCAGGTGCGCATCAATCAGAATCAGAATCAGAAAGGGTTTTATTCGCCATGTAAGTTCACACCGACACGGAATTTACTTTGGCAGGATGGTGCATACATTCAACATATAGGAATCTAAAATCTTAAATAAGTTTTAAACAAGTCTTACTATAATAAGGGTTAACAGTCTAACACCAAGGGGCTGAAGTATATAAAATTAAATAAATATCGAATATAAAATAGCTTTAAGATATAATTTTAAAAATAAAAAATACAAATAGGGTAACATAGTTAATATCGGCAAGGTGTCGTTATGTATATAAAATGTTAAAAACAGTGTTAGCCCTTGGCCTTGTTTAACAGGCCAGCAGCAGATGGGAAGAACCTGTTTTTATGGCGTGAGGTTTTGGTCCTGATGGACCGAAGCCTTCTGCCGGAGGGGAGTAGCTGAAACAGAGAGTGTCCAGGGTGGGAGAAATCGGCATTCGCTTTCCACAGCTACACATTTATATGCACAGTGGTGTGACTGCTATTGGCGTGTTCATGCAGTGAGGAGACCACGTAACCGGAAGGCCGCAAGTTCAAATACGGATCAGTTGTCGACTTGGCCTTTCATCCTTCTGGGCTTAACACAGTTAGTACTGCTTTGTGGAAAGTCAATAGTGGTTGTTCTGTACAATTAATTACATCCATCGTAGTAATGTGTAATTTCCACCACTGATTCAGGGCTTTAAACGGGAGTTCCACCACACTTTTTTTTAGAACATTGATTATGACTGGGCCAAGTCCCAATGATGATGTAGGTAGCCAGTCTAAACCAGGGTTGACTGCCCCCTACATTATCCCAATTATCAGTAAAACTATAACCACTTCGCATTTAGTCATCCGTACGGTGCGAATAAAGTTCACCATAAAATGTAAAAACCGCTCCTTGCCATAGGACTGTAAAATGTACACCGTTGCAAAAAGGTTCGTGTATAAGGACCACTATGTAACACTAATGTAGGTGTATTAACGGTTACTTTCTCTGATTCTTTGCTTCAATGTGTGTGAATTGTATGTAGACTTGCATGTTACACTAATGCCATCGGCAACGAACCCGATATCTTGAACTGCAACGCCCAAGCATAGCTGCGTCCGCTTAGTACCCAGCTGAGAGGCACTCTGGAAGTGCCTGGTGTTGTAAAAACACCACATACCTGTAATAGCAGCTATCACGAGTTCCTTATGGGCAAATCTGCCACGAGGGAATATTTGCATACAGTAAGGAAATCCTGGTGAAAGCACGCTGATACAATGTGTGGTAGAATCCAATTTACTTGACGTGTGTACACGGAACTGGGCTCAATTTTACTGATGCACCCCCTGCTGGTCTGTGGGAGGAAGACGATTCCTCGAATACAATGTTTATATAAAAGAAGGACATGCTCCGGAGATATGAACAATCATTAGTACTCTTGACTCAAACACAGGCACATCAATCACCTCTAGGTACTGCGATAAATGTACACGTGTTTAAAGCTGCAAATGTATTTCCCATGTTATGTTTAGAAGATATTATTCGCAGTTAGCGGTAGATATCCTATGCTTGTGTGTGGTTGTGCTATGTTACTTATGTTGATGTGTATTATGTGCGTCTTTGTACATAACATGAACATGTCTGGCATTTCAAACATCGTGCACTTTTAGTTACTATAGTTTTGTAATAGCTCACAATTGTCCAGTTGTCATTTAAAATCTGGGTCATAATCGTCTCAGCCCTTCATCCCTCTGGAGTCAATAAAATAAATACCACTTTGTAATGAGTCAAATATGGTAAAAATGACACCACCAAAATGTGCTTTTGTTTTCCATTGGCTGAGGAATATAAATAGATGAGCTCCAAGCGAGTGAGAATCTTGCTTGATGGACTAAAAATGTGCTGAAACTTTTGGTAACATTTTCATTGAGGTTACGGTTTATTTTGCAGGTCATAGATCGAGGTATGCAAGCGTCCCCCTTGTTCAGAAGTCGACTGGGGTCTTCTGACGGTATGAAGTCTGGGAATGAGAATTCGCAGGTGGGAATTCTCCGATGTATTAAATAACAAGCAACTCACACTTTATTTTGTTATGGCTAAGAGAGGGGAGTCACGAATAGATGTCACTCGATATTTTGGAAAAAAATCACATCGCACAGATATTTGAAGATGTTATAGCAAGCAGTGGGAGTGTGAAAGTAGCTAAAAGGCTAATAATTGGCAATTGAAAATGGTAACCCTTAGGGGTAAAGATTAAACGAAAACACGATATAGATATAATACCTAATATTAGTTCAATGTACAGTATGTTAATCTCTAACAAAAAAAGGAATCCGTATTTGGTTGGTGTAAATTCCATGTATCTCCCTCTTAGTAATTACAGCCCTTCACGGTATGAAAAGCTCGAAGACAAGATGGTATAACTGGACATAAAAGGGGGATCATTCATTGGAACAAAATTTATAGACATTTTCACGTAATGGTTGCACATAAATGAAAACCTCAGTTGTAGAATGCCTCGACCATATTAATGTGGAGGTTCACCAACTGTTTAGGGCTGCAAACATGAATGCTGCTGCCCACCCCCTTCGTTTCTACTTCTGGAATACTCACTGAGTCTCAAGATTTTTTTCAGGAGGGGCCTGGATTTGGGATGCTTACTAAAATGGTTCTTTTTTTGTGATTTGCATGTCAGTGGAAATTTGAGCACTCGCATATAAGAAAGGATAACACTGAAAAGTTCAAACGATGGGTTTATGAACCCACTTGCTGTAATAGCATCTCACCACCTAACACCCTAGCAGATTTGAGAGTTAACAAAACTGTAATCATCCAAATCGTGTCTGCCGAGTGCTGGATTTCACGCATACGACTATCATCCATCCCTCCTACAAGTGGCGTTTGCACAAGACTGTGAGATGATTCCGCCACAGCTGTTGCATTTCATTCTTCTCTATCTCCCCCCGCCCTCCCTCCCTCCTCCCTCCTGTTTCCCGACTGTTGTCGGGGTATATTACCCTGTGCAGCCATTGCAGCAGGTGCAGGTGTTTGCGGATGTGCAATGCACGGTGAACGTGGTGGGCAGTGGCGGAGACTCTTACCTGGGTCAGGCAGGACCGCCGACACCGGGCCAGAAGCAGCAGCAGCCTGGTGCAGGGAATGTGACGGGGGCCCAGGCTGCTGCTCAGGCTCAAGGATCCAGCCTCCTGCAGCAGCTGCTAACTGAGTAGCGTTCACCAGGTCCCGGGCCACTGCGCGGCCATCCCTGTTCTTATATGCGGAATCCCAGCTTTGCAGGTTGTCTCAATGGAATTTTCACTCGTATTTATTTTCAAAGATGACCCGGCTCTCACGTAAGACCAGTTGGATCTTAAAATGCCTTCAGAAGTGTTATATCTTTTAATCTGTATGTTTGTCTTCAACTTCAGTGTGATGGGACACGTGATATTACACAAATCGTACCTTTTTTTTCTGACCGCCAGACTGTAGCTATATGTGTATAGATTATTTAACACAGTCTGGTTATCAGACTTAGTCAAAACCTAATGATTAAGTTTGTAGAAACTGAAGTTTGTGAACGAATGCGAGGGCAATTTGACAGGAACTGTAAATAGACATAAAACACACTTTCCAATTATGTATGTTACGAGATACCTGTAGCCACTGGCCATACAGTGAGGGAAAAAAATATTTGATCCCCTGCTGATTTTGTACGTTTGCCCACTGACAAAGAAATGATCAGTCTATAATTTTAATGGTAGGTTTATTTGAACAGTGAGAGACAGAATAACAACTAAAAAATCCAGAAAAACGCATGTCAAAAATGTTATAAATTGATTTGCATTTTAATGAGGGAAATAAGTATTTGACCCCCTCTCAATCAGAAAGATTTCTGGCTCCCAGGTGTCTTTTATACAGGTAATGAGCTGAGATTAGGAGCACACTCTTAAAGGGAGTGCTCCTAATCTCAGCTTGTTACCTGTATAAAAGACACCTGTCCACAGAAGCAAGCAATCAATCAGATTCTAAACTCTCCACCATGGCCAAGACCAAAGAGCTCTCCAAGGATGTCAGGGACAAGATTGTAGACCTACACAAGGCTGGAATGGGCTACAAGACCATTGCCAAGCAGCTTGGTGAGGTGACAACAGTTGGTGCGATTATTCGCAAATGGAAGAAACACAAAAGAACTGTCAATCTCCCTCGGCCTGGGCTCCATGCAAGATCTCACCTCGTGGAGTTGCAATGATCATGAGAACGGTGAGGAATCAGCCCAGAACTACACGGGAGGATCTTGTTAATGATCTCAAGGAGCCGGGACCATCGTCACCAAGAAAACAATTGGTAACACACTACTCCGTGAAGGACTGACATCCTGCAGCGCCCGCAAGGTCCCCCTGCTCAAGAAAGCACATATACATGCCCGTCTGAAGTTTGCCAACGAACATCTGAATAATTCAGAGGACAACTAGGTGAAAGTGTTGTGGTCAGATAAGACCAAAATGGAGCTCTTTGGCATCAACTCAACTCGCCATGTTTGGAGGAGGAGGAATGCTGCCTATGACCCCAAGAACACCATCCCCACCGTCAAACATGGAGGTGGAAACTTTGGGGGTGTTTTTCTGCTAACGGGACAGGACAACTTCACCGCATCAAAGGGCCGATGGACGGGGCCATATACTGTCAAATGTTGGGTGAGAACCTCCTTCCCTCAGCCAGGGCATTGAAAATGGGTCGTGGATGGGTATTCCAGCATGACAACGACCCAAAACACAGGGCCAAGGCAACAAAGAAGTGGCTCAAGAAGAAGCACATTAAGGTCCTGGAGTGGCCTAGCCAGTCTCCAGACCTTAATCCCATAGAAAATCTGTGGAGGGAGCTGAAGGTTTGAGTTGCCAAACGTCAGCCTCGAAACCTTAATGACTTGGAGAAGATCTGCACAGAGGAGTGGGACAAAATCCCTCCTGAGATGTGTGCAAACCTGGTGGCCAACTACAAGAAATGTCTGACCTCTGTGATTGCTAACAAGGGTTTTGCCACCAAGTACTAAGTCATGTTTTGCAGAGGGGTCAAATACTTATTTCCCTCATTAAAATGCAAATCAATTTATAACATTTTTGACGTGCTTTTTTCTGGATTTTTTTGTTGTTATTCTGTCTCTCACTGTTCAAATAAACCTACCATTAAAATGATATACATCATTTCTTTGTCAGTGGGCAAACGTACAAAATCAGCAGGAGATCAAATACTTTTTTTCCCTCACTGTATATGCAAGTGAAGGGTGTTGATGAATTTAAAACAGAAAGCAAGACACTTTATAGCAGTGAGCTTTAATGCCCTTAGAGGAGCTTCTGCTAGCTTGTGATGTGTGACTGTTGGCAGTGCAGTAGTAACTTGTTATTGTGAACATGGTTTTTTTTTGTATAATATATGGCAGTGGCTTACATAACTCAGATAGATGGTTGTAGTAGAAACAAAGCTAAAAAAAAAGTTATCACCATGCCACAATAGCCATTGTGTTTCTACCTTTGTATGAAGTAATTGGGATGTCACAAACACAATTTTTTCTTAACTTCGTGAATAATCTGAACTCTTAAAAACTGGAGCTTGTTTGCTAAAAAATGATGTGTGTATAATGTTAATGTCACCCATGTGAGAAATGCCACTTTTGGTTGTAAGCAAAATATCAAGTGACAGTGGCTTTTGAGAAACTGCCTTTTGTTTAGTCTTACAGGCCTCATGGCTTTAAACCTCAAATTTAAAAACCCTTATTTAAATGTACTTCTGAAAACCCTCCTCGGAACATAACACATGTACGATAGAGGCAGTATGACACTTATTTCTAACAGGTACATACTTTAAAAGTTTTTGTAAATTATTGTTGTGCATAATCGTTAATGTTCTTAAATATTACACGTCAAGTAAGTAAACAAATACGTAATTTTGAAAAGAGCTGGAGGAAGTGGTGTACGAATGAAATCTGAATCTTTTTCACGAAAGTGCGTCTGCAAAAAGTGGTTGCTTGTTTTGTGGAATTTGGGCCACAGCAGTGAATAAAAAGAGTAACCAAACCGTAGCGAATGGAGACTGGAGTTGAAACCGGCTGCTACCCTCCCTGATATATGCATTCACCTGAAGTGTGACTTACCGAGGCGTTTTGCCAGCAGAGACCGCCTTCTTGCTGTAGAAGAGAGACAATTTACTACCTGAAACGATGACAAGTTTTCCTCCTTTTTACATACAGGTTTTTTGCGTTTCTCGATGTAACTTGACAATATTTCTAAGCGTCTCACGTAGGCAGTCACCCAAAGGCTGCAGAATCCAGTGTCCTCGTGCAGTTCTATGGAAATACACAATTAAATTGTATACGAGTGAACGTTTAGTGTGCATTTGCCTTCGGTTGTCAGTCTCAGTGCTAGCCTAATTCGTCTTCATTTCCTTGGCCAATATACTTAAGTAGAGAGACCAATCCAACCTCTGGACTTTTAGTAACCATATAAAAACACTTGCACATTTTCATTGACAGAACCAGACATAGGTCACTTGAACTGAACTCTGCCAAGCAGCCGTTCCTTTCTCCTACAAGGAGCAATATTGTGCTTAAGGAAGTGTGTTTCCCCATGGGTTTCTATTTACCGTGTTTTTATAATGGCGTGCGTGTTGTAGGAAAGGCCATACCCAAAACCGATGGGTACTCTTTTATGATGCGATGCTTGTGGTCAATTAAGCCTAGACATCAGAGAGGTGCACACTGCCATCAGTGCTGCCACGTGAACTGACGCAGCAGTGGGATTGATCGGTGCAGCTGTATAGTGGAGCTTGGTGCGTTACAACTTTTGCAATGACTTTGGATCCGTGCTTTCCAGGAATCTTGCCAGTGATAATCAGTGGCCGATACCCCAGTTTCCCCATTGCCATCACCATGCCCTTACATCTGCTTAGCGTTGCTCAATAATAATAATAATAATGACGCAGATTCTGCAATCACAGTATCGGGTTGTAGATTTTGTCAAGCCAGTCAGAAGTAAACCAAATTGTCTGCTTTTTAATACAGAGTACATGTCTAAGCCTGGCCCTGGCAAATTAATGCTTTTAAAATTATCACAAGACCAGTTTACTGTGGGAGTCAATATTGTATGATTACAACAAATATACTACAATCACTTTTATAGAGCACATACAAATAATTTGCTGAAGCTTATGCTTGCCATTATAAGCTTTTGTTGATAATAATTTTAGAGCATAAGATATACAAATAAGTTAGGAAGATGTTATGAAAACTCAAGCTGTGACTATGCCATCAGGTCCACATTTTGTACCATGTAACAAATGACACTCAAGCAATAATTTTCAATGTAGCTTATACAATCGGATCCGTTTGTAAACTGTTTACCAATCACAGGTTCAAAATGTACGAGCTACAACAGCTGTGCGATAAAGTACGATGTTTAATTTATTTTTGTTTTGTTTTTTTGAAGGCAGGGTTTAAACCTAATGAGCATGGTTTTATTTGTTGTTGTTTTTTTGTACATAGGTGACCGCACAAGCGATAAATGTCCCTTTGTCCCAGAAGCGCCTCAAAGGATAGTTTCAACGCGAGGCTTTGCGAGGCATACAAACTTGGCGTATGCATTGACATTTTTGTTGTCCAATGCCAGGTAACGTAGCTTGAGATGATGCCTTAGCTCATTGATATATCTTAGGTTTCAAAAGCCATCGATCGTAAACATCCACTGTTAAACATTATTTAAGTTGTGTTTGTATCCCACACAGGTACACCTGGTGTATAGCCACTGTGTAACTACATAAGGGCAGCTAAGATTATATTTTTTTCCTCGCATTGTTCTTACGCCATCACTGGCAAATTAAAAGGTATTTCATCTGAGCTGTGGCAATTGTTTCAAGAGTAGCACAAGCTCATTGGTCACTAAGGTGCCGATTTACTTTACCAGTTGGTGCTGGGCCCTTGAATCCAAAAACGTAAAGTGCGTATTTAAGTAGGTTAAGTAAAGAATGTATGTTTTTAAGGCAGCTTTAAACTCAACAAGCATTCACCTGATTTGTACCAGGAAAAAAAACTACCTTTACTAAACACTACAATGCTGCTTTCAAAAAGGTCATTTCATCTTTTGATTGAAATTGATACGACTCTAAGGGGTGGTACAGCAGTTTGTGAAACTTTGTTATGAACCCAGTGACCTGAGATCGATTCCCAGCCAATGCTAACATCGGAGGGGAATTTGTAGAACCAGTCCTGTATCCCCCCCCCCCTCCGCCTTTACTGAACAGCATGGTGAATTATGGTCAAGCAACTCCTATGACAGCTGGGCACGGGGAGGCCTTCATCGATTGGTTGGCAAAGCATTGTGCACGATTATTCTTTTGGCTCTTACAGAATGACTCAGTTTGTGACTTCTATAAACTTTCATGAAAAAAATATTCCAAGATAAGTAAAGGTTTAGTCCAGTTCTGGAATACGAAAGAAATTGAACAGCCCCATATTTTTTGTGTAAGATCTGCAGAATCACGAGTCACAAAATGTGTTGCCAGTTTCTTGCATAACACACGTCCAATTGTATTATAGATTTTTTGCGTTTTGTAATTTATTTTTTATGAGGCTCCACTTTGTTCTATTGAGCTGGCATAATGACGTCATGTCACTTTGTATACACTTAAGAATGCAGATGAAATTAAGGCACAAAGAAATCACGTGATGGCCGGTTGCATTGCTGCGCATTTCGTTGTGCAGCAATCGGTGATGCGGGTATTTTAAACCAGGTTCTTTACAGA